GTGACGCAGCACAGGCGCGTCCCCTCCCCACCCTGGGCTCCCAAACCCTGTTGCAATGGGCAGTGTCTCGCTGTAATGAGCTGCTAATTGGGATCTGCTGCTGGGGGGGGTGTGGGGCACAGCCCTGTGCCCCCAAGGAGCACAGTCTGTCCCCGGTACAGACACGCAGCCCGCAAGCAGAACACACCACGGGTCACTCCTGTGCCCTGCGGGGAGCAGGGGCAGCAGAGCTGGTGCCTGCCGGGCACTCCCTGCCAGCCCCGAGTGCTGGTCCAGAACGGCCCAGCCCTGGGCATGTCACTGATTCATCTGCAAACCCAGAGTGATGTGGCCTTCCCTGTCCTGCTCCTGCACCAGGAGAGACACGGGCCAAGGACACGTCTCCTTTATTCTCCTGTCCAGTGGCACAAACCCGGCTGTACCAGCCCCTCGGGCACCTCCCAGCACAGCCCCTCTCACCCATCAGCCAGACCACGCTGGAGGAGCCAATGCTTTGCAAAGCCATAACTCCTGATATTCCTCTGACAGCAAAGAGGGAGCCAGCGTGGGATTTCTGGGGGAGGGAGCAAAGCCAAGTGAGCTGTGCGCAGTCACGGCAGGGAAAACCACCAGCAAATGAGAGAGAAGCAGCTTCGAGCTTGGAGAGACCAGGCAGCACTCTCCAGGGTACAGGAGTGAGAGAGGCAGAGGCACCAGTAGTAGCTGGCAAACCCAAGGCTGGCAGCAGTGGGGAAATGCAGACCAAGACATCCCAGAAATGCCTCTCCTCTTCTGCAGCCCTAGCAAAGCAACCACAGCACCGTTCATGCTTGGCTGGGGAGCATGTTCATTGCTAGAGAGTTAAATATTAATTGCAGATGATGTTATGTCCTTAAAAAGCATGAAAAAGATCACCCTCGGTTTTTTGCCAATGAGCAAAAATTCCTGCCTCCAGCCCTAAGGTGTTAATCACACAGGAATTTGCATTCCCTGCAAACCCCAGCAGCCCTGCTGCCCCCTTCCCTGGCTCTGGCATTAGGAGGGACCAAGAAATTCCTGACTTCCCACACCAGATCCCCAAGATGTAGTCAAAGAACTCCTCAGCAGCCAGAGAGGCACCGAACAAGCTGCTTGGAGATTTGTTTAGAAACAAACCTCTTAGAAAGCCTCCTTCAGTGAGGCACCCCATGTCTTTCAGAGGGGGTCTCAATGATGGAAAACCTGTAGTCACAGCCAGCAAAGCTTCCTCTCTTCTTCCCACCCAGTGTATATAACCCCCCACTTCAATGTTCCTGCTGCAGCCACACTCTTCAACTTCAAGGATGTTTTTTCCCACCCCAGGGAGCATTTTCTAAGTTCCCCACATGAAGACAAAAAATTATAATCAGGCTGATTCAGGCTTGCTAAGCTGATAATTAGAAACCCCAAGCACTAAGGGGACAAGGTGGGGACATGGAGGAAGCAGAATGGATCATCCCACACCTGCCTTCAGGTATCCTTGTCATCTGCAGGAAGCAGCAGCCAGGCTTGGGGAGCACTGCCTCTCCCAAGATGCTCATGCTTAAGACCCTGTGCTCTCTGCTCTCAGCAACAAAAGGCTTTAGTTTCATTTGTGGTGGAACGTGTCCTCTGCACCAGCCACATGCTGGAACAGAAACCTTCAGAAAGACGGGAGTGTGAAGGACAAGGAGAGAACAGGGTCACCCACACTCAGCTGAGGTGCTGTGACATTCACGTGTGCCCAGGGCTAAAGGTAAAAGAAGGGTCCCATCTCACCAGCCCCTGGTGTGGCTCATTGCTTCAAGCAGAGCCTGCTCAGGGCTCCAACACAGCCACAGACCTACCAGCCCCCTCCTCTCCTCTGCTAACACCAGTGGGACTAGCTCAGTGCTGACCCAAGCACTGGGAGCAAAATCAGAGAACACAGAAGGACAGAAAAATGCAGTTTCTGAATGAAAAATTATTTTTAAGAAGGCAAACTGGGACAGAGGCTCTCAGCTGCTCTGGTGCTTCTGTCACCAACGCGTGTGGCACAGCAGCACAGGCAGGGCATGACCCAAACTTCACAGCACAAGCTTAAAATCCAGCAAAATGGGAAAGGAAAAGAGGAAGACAAAGGGGCACAAGGGAGAGCAGCAGCAGATGCAGGTGCACAGAGCACACCCCTGGAGCTTGCAGTGCCAGGTGCTCAGGGCTGGATTTAGGGAAGACCTCACCACCTACTTGGGTTTCTGAGTCCAGGCAGGGCCTCAAGTCCTCTCACTATTCCCACCCCAACACTGGCCTTGCAGTCTCACATCACATCAGGCACCTCAGAGAATCTAATCCAGGCGATACCAGGAAAGAAGAGTTCTCAGTGTGCTCCACACCCAGGGCTCCTTACAGAGCCCATCAGCTGCTGTCAGGGCTGTCTTGGCTTGAGGAGCCTCTACCACCACCCCAGCAGCTCTGAGGCCTGAGCCAGGACCACACACCTCACCCAAACCCCAACCCCTGCAAACCCCCTGTAAAAACCTGCCTCGCTCCAAAGCAGAGCTTGAAACTACAACCCAGCAAACCCCAAGCAGGGGTTACCCGGGAGCAGCAGCCTGTGGTGGACCTGAGCATGAGCTCAAACACTGCCCCATTGAGCTGCTGCTCTTCCCACAGCTCCAGCTCCATCTCTCCCAACAAGCAGCAGAACCAGCTCCAGCTGTGCCTGCGTCGCCGGGGAAAACTCCCACTGGCAAAAACTTTCTCCTTCCTTGGAATCTTGCACCAGAGGGAATTCTGCAGCTAGTTGTGGCAGGCTGGCACTGAGCTAGAGGAAGGGACAGATGCCACCATTATGCTGAGTCCTCCCAGTGCTCCAGGACTCCAGCTGGGCCAAGAGAGTGGAGACAACAACCCAGCATTCAGCAGCTTCTCCGGGAAGAGGAACCAAACCATTATTCAGGTCCCACCACCCACTTCTGCTGCAGACTCCAGTAACAACACTGCTTTGCCTCACAAATCCATCTTTCAGAGCAGACAGCTCAAACCAATACGTATTTTAATCAAAAACAATCAACAAAGTGTATTTTCCTCGGGCATTAGAAACCCAGCACAGTGGGCAGCCAGACCTTGGCTCAGCTGGGTTGCAGGCAGGGGACACTTTGGGGCCCCCTACCAGCAGCTATCCCTCTCCTAACTGGAACAGACAGCCTGCCCAGTGCTCCTACCTGTCCAGCACCAGCATAATTTCATTTATAAACCCACACCATGGCCCAGAAGTAGAATGTTTAGCAGGACAGCTCCATCTGTCCATCTCTGAAAGGAGTTCTCATAGTCTGAGCAGTGAATGTTCTCATCCAAACCCACACGTTTGTACCCACACTGCCCCAAGTAACTCCCCCACAACTCTCACAAGCTACAACTGCCCCAAAACAAGCCCCAAATGTGCCCTCCTGCCTGGCAGGGCTGCTGCTCTTCAGTGGAGCTCCCAGACCCTGTGCAAAAGCCCATTGCTGCTAGTGGCTGCCATCACAAACACATCCTGGTTCCCAACCACAAACACCCTCTGCTCCCCAACATGCTGCTGCAGAGTTAAAAGTTTGGGAGTCTCTGAGCACAAAAGGCTGAACAGGTCTGTGTAACCTGCTGGCCAAGGGCAGGAGTTCCGGGGAGGAACTGACAGCAGGAAACAATTCTGTATTTTCCTTTACTGCTCCTTCAAACATACGTGAGGCAGGGGCTGGCAAAGGCACTGCCTGCTGACCCAGCAGCCTGGGCTCTGGGTCAGACTCAGGACAAGGTTCCCACAGGCCACCCCCATTCCCATGCACCCCACCTTGCACCCCCTCTCCCAGCACAGCCCCACAGGGAAAACAGCTCCTGCTCTGTCCAGACAGGGGGGACCAGGCCAGCTCAGTGCACCAGGATGGCAATTTAACAGGTGCTCTCCTGCCACCTTCATCACCCAACACTCTCCCTCCTGCACGAGTTTAACAAAACATTTTCAATCAGGCGTTTTAAAGCAGAAAACCCTCATGCAAAACTCTCTCCCATACAAGTTCTACACCTCCATGACGTGTCTGTCAGACACACCTGGAGCCTGACGTGTTACATCACCGTCTGCAGAAAGAGTGGCAATGTAAATAACCAGCTGATCCTCAGCACAGAGGAGCTGCCACCGACTCCAGTGCCCGTTTGGCAGCCCCCGGGGCTGAGCCCTCCCGTGTTACTGAAACACATCCTGGACAGAAGGCTCCGTGTCAATCCCCACCGGGCTGCACCTGAGCCCAGCCCGGACCTGCTGTCCTGTCCCCACCCCCGGGCTTGCCCAGGCTCCTGGGGAGCCTCCGTTTCTGACACCCGGGTTATTAAAACAGGTCCCCGACAATTTTTATTGATTTTTTTTTTTTTTTTTTCTTTTGGTGACGATAAACCACCAGGTGGTTTATCCAGGAAAACACCCTCCGGGAAGTTCTGGCTGGAACTTGAGGCTAAAGGCTCTCCTTCTCTCCAGGGGTAGGGAACCGTGAGGAAGAGGAGCAGCCCGCAGAGCCGCTCAGAAGCCCCTTCCCCACCGAGGGGACCCCCCGGGACTCCTCTCGGGCAGGGTTTTCCCGCGGGGAACCCGCAGCATCCCAGCCCAGCCCCGCAACCCCGGCGGGAGGGGCTCGGTGGGCGCTGCCCACCCCCCTTCCCCAGCCCCGCAGGAAAAGGGCAGGGGGTCTGCGGAGAGCTAAGCCCCCCCCCCTACCCTCCCCACCCCCGGGAGGTGCGATGAGTTTGCCAGGCGCCCTTACGTCCTCTTGAAGACCCCTCCGAGGCAGCTGCCGAGCAGGAGGCAGAACTGCTGGGAGAAGAAGACCCAGGTGATGTGGGAGAGGGAGCTCTGGGTCTGGCAGCGCAGGTCCAGCAGCGTGGGCCCCAGGAACGCGATGCAGAGGCCGAAGCTGAAGAAAACGCTCCAGTAGGTCAGGGTGGGCTGCAGGTTCCTCCGGAACCGCGACGAC